GCCAGGCTTCCTGCGTGCCACCAGACTCTCGTCCTGAGGTCTGCCTGTGACCCCTCAAGCCCACCGGCTCCCTCTTCTCCCCTAACCTCCACAGTGCAGGAGGAAGCCTGTTTCCTCTTCCCGGCCACGTCCTGAGCCTGAGGCTTGCGAATTAAACTTACAAAAGACAAGTTCACAGAAGAAAAGGCATCTGAATTTACTGGTAGTGTTTGGGGGAACTTCACAGAAAAGAGGGGAAGCCTGAGTGACGGGAACTTCAGGGAACAGGGTTTGGTAATGCCCGCGATGCAGACTGAAGGCTGATGACAGGGACCATCCCATTGCATGCGCAGGCGGGGAGGTGGCTTCTACAGGGAAACATGCCCTGCTTTTCGGAAGGAGGAGGGGGCGAGAGTGTGCGTGCTGTGCCTAGGGGCCTGCAGCTAAAATAACGTGCCAGCCGTCTCATGGCGCACCCACTCCTCCACCCGCTCCAGCCTCCCCTCTGCTGCCAGCCCCCTGTCTGGTCGGGCTGTTGCCTTCATGCTCCCATTTCCCCTTCTTCTTGCCTGGATGAGTCTCCTGTATTTGGTGTCTTTGTTCCCCCTTCACCTCTGCCTGGGCAGGGCTGTGCCTGCCACCCCATGACCAGTGCCAGCACAGGAGGCTGTGAGCTCCGTGACCCGATGAGTGAGCACGGGTCCAGTTCACTCGGGGGGGCACAGTACATGGGGATGCACAGGGCATGGGGATGCACAGGGCATGGGGATGCACAGGGCATGGGGATGCAGGGCGGGCTGGGCCAGGAGGAGACTCAGAGCATCCAATAAAGACAACGTGGAATGTGACATTGTATATCGACATTTTAAATCATTCAAATACCCATTATGAAAAAACCCAAGCTTTCTATCATAGACTACCTTGGACTGCTATTTTATTTAATATATATTTTATTGATGATTTTTTTTTTTAAGAGAGGAAGGGAGAGGGGTAGAGAGCTAGAAACATCGATGAGAGAGAAACATCAATCAGCTGCCTCCTGCACACCCCCTACTGGGGATGTGTCCGGAATCAAACCTGGGACCTTTCAGTCCACAGACTGAAGCTCTATCCACTGAGCCAAGCCAGTTTCCGCTAGACTGCTATTTCAGAATTAGTACCTTTCACTACTAGGGGAGCAGGCTGCACGTTTGTCCTTCATCCGCCAGGCCCTGAAGTGAGGCCATTAGGATGGCCTGGCTGGTTCCCCTCAGATGGGGGACCCACAAAGAAGCTAAGCAACAAATTAAAGACCATCTGAAAGGCGGGTCCTCAGGAGCGCCATGCAGTGGACCAGCCCAGGGCGCACAGCGCTCCCAGGACAGCCTGGGCCTGGCCACTCCCTCAGCCCGTGGCTGCAAATCGCATTAACTTGATGAAACCATTTGTCCAGCCCCCTCCGGTGCCCCTTCCATTACCTCATTCCCTCTTCTCAATCAATCTCTCAGCCTCCGTGCTTACCCTCTAAATCAATTCCGCTCTGAGAGCCTCTCGCTGCTTCCCCGCGCTGTACCATCCAGTGATTTGATGAATCAGTTGCCTGGAGCCCCTGCAGCCACTCTGCTCGCCCCGGGCCTCAGCACTTACAGACCTCCCTGGGGAGCGGCCGGCTGGCTGCAGGCCCGCCCTGAGCCGTGGCCAGGCGCCCCGTGGCTCCTAGGGCCCCAGTGGCTCCCCAAGGCCAGTGTTACTGGGCCTGCTCTGAAGGCCGTAGGCGGTGTGAGAGGTGGGGTTCTCCGAAGAAGACCCTGGGTGAGGACGCCAGGGAGGGGGAGGGGAGGGGGAGGGGAGGGGGAGCAGTACAGAAGGTAAGGGCCGAGCTGGGAGCAAAGCCCAGCAGGGGGAGGTCTCCTGTGACATCTGCCTCTTCACCCCTGAGCGGCTTCCCATGAGACCCCGGGCTGCAGGGGGTTCGGGCTCCTTACCCAGAGGCTTAGGCCAGGGCTGGGGGTGTAAACTAGGTTCTCCCAGTGCCTGCCCAAGGTGTGCTCCAGGAGCCAAGGGGCCCTACAAACACAGGCATCCTGGGGGCTGCAGGTACAGCCGCCAGGGGAAGCCGCCCCCAGTGTAGGGAGGGTGGGAGTGGGGTGAGGGTGGGGGTGCAAGCTGGGAATTCAGGCTGAGTGAGGGGAGACCGACCGCTCACCCTCACTGAGCCCGCCTTCCTCCCACCCTGGCAGGGGCTCCAGAGAGGGCCCCCTGGCCTGGCCCCCCAGAGGGCCACGCTGGCCTGGGCCCCGCTCCCGGAAGCGCCATCTGTCCAGCCGGAGTCCAGCGGCGCAGGCGAGGCCTCTGGTTAGTGTGAGGCACCGCCTCCCGTGTGCCTGTCCAGGTTATTGTCCGTAGACATTACCAGGCTGGTGTTTCAGTTGCTATTTTAGGTTCCCCACGGGCCCTCCGCTCCACTCAGCATTCTTTATTCCACATGCACCCCGCATCCTTTCCCCAGGGAGCGCACTGTGCACGGCCACCCCCTGGAGGGCATCACCTCCCAGACCGCGCCCATGGTCCTTCCACATGAAACGCAGTGCTGTCTTCTGTTTGGGAGCCGTGTTTTCCTTCCCTTTCCATGCAGTTTCTTTTTCATGTTATTGTGCTGTAGCTTGCTTTCCACCGCCAGAGTACAATTTAAGTAAATGTTAAGGCAGAAACGGGAGAAGGGAGGGTTGCAGGTACAGCTTTAAAAGGTGGTCAAGCCTGGCCCAAGTGGCTCAGTGGGTTGAGCACTGTCCTGTGTATCCAAAGGGCACATACCTGGGTCGCGACTTTGATCCGCACTTGGGGCATGTTATCTCTCTTGGGCCAGGGGCAAGCGTGTGGCTGCCCTGAGGGCTGCGGAGACCAGTGTGGCCAGGACCAGGGAGCACAGGGGGTCAAGCGGCCCCTGGCCTGGTCTGAGGACCTCGCTGCTGTCGTGATGGCCCCATTATCCACAGAGCAAGAAGGGGAGTCTGCCGAGCAGTCGTAGGGAGCATCGTGGCTCACTCTCACCAGCAAGAATCTCTCTGGCTGCCCTGTTAAGAGGCTTAGACAAATGTCGGAGTAGAGGCTGGGGGAGTGGGGGAGGGTCTACGGCAGTAATTGAGGGGAGAAATGAAGGACAGCCTGAGGGTCGTGGTCTCACTGACAGGTGGGGAGAAGGTTTCAGGGTAGAATGTGCATTGGAGGTGTTCAGGGGGGCATGTCATGCACATGTGGGTCTCGGATTCAGGGCTAAGCCTTCTGCACATTCATGGTGTGTAGATCCAGGAGACAGAAGAAGGTCCCTGAGACAGCGAGTGTGGATAGAAATGGGGCCCAAGGACTATTCCTGGACACTACACCCCAAGAGGTGGGCAGGATGAGGACACTGAGAGTGATGAGCAGTGAAGGAGGGGAGAGGAAGGAGAGCTTGGAACCCAAGGGCAGAAGCAATACTGGAGGAGGAAGCTATTTAACTCGGTCAAGTGCTGCAAGGGGTCAGGGAATGGGAGAACTGACGTGGCCTTGGATTGGTCAGTATGAGGGTTTTGGTGACCTTGATGAGAGCAGTTTGGGTGGAACAGGTGGGGAAAGCCTGACGGGGTAGGGTCAAAAGAGAACATGAAGCAGTCAGAGATGATGAAGGAGTTCTGGAGATAGATGATGGTCATGGTTACCTACCAGTACCAAATGCCACTGACCTCTGCACTTAACTATGGTTACAGTGATAAATGTCATGTGAGGTATATTTTACTGCCAAATAAGGGAATAGGAGAAGAATTGCAAAGAGGAGTAAAGATGCCTCTTCTGAAGTGTTTGTTAAAAAGGGGAGCTGAGCCCTAACCGGTTTGGCTCAGTGGATAGAGCGTCAGCCAGCAGACTCAAGGGTCCCAGATTTGATTCTGGTCAAGGGCATGTACCTTGGTTGCTCTCCATCTCACTTGGATGCAATCCCTGCTGGTTTTCATAGCCAGATGTTACGGGGACTCCTCCTCCTGGCACCGGAGGCCTGGTGGAGGCCTGGAGGAGGCCTGGTGGAGACTGAGACGTCTCGCTCCTCAGGTGTGAATTCTGCAACAAGACCCCCCCCCCCCGCCCAATTTTTAATCACACACTGTAGTATGGGACCTGCAGTTCCATGTCTCTGTCCCTCCAACCCATCGCCATGCGGCTTCTCCTGTTTTATTATGTTTTTAATCGTCTCCCAAGGCGTGCTTTTGTCTTTTCTTTTCTTTCTTTTTTTTTTTTTTGAGAGAGAGAGAGAGAGAGAGAGAGAGAGACATTGATGTGAGAGTCAAACATCGATCGACTAGTTGCCTCCCACACGGGTCCGGCTAGTGATTGAACCTGGGTATGTGCCCTGACCAGGAATTGAGCTGCCACCTTTTGGTGTCCAGGATGCTGCTGCAACCACCTGAGCCACACCAGCCAAGCTGCGGCTTCTTTATGTCCTTAGTCTGGCTGGTCTTCGGGTGGCTCACAATGGTAGTTGTTGCATGAATCAGTTGTGATTTTGACATGGTTGTGGGAGAAGGCAAGCACAAATCCACCTATTTCACCATCTTGACCAAAAACCTCGTTTCTCTTGTTTCACTGCTTAATCCCAGTGCCGGGAACAGTGACTGGCATACAGTAGGTACTCAATAAATAGTTGAGTGAATAAATGAATGAACCATTGAACAAATGGAAGGATGGCTGTGTGGGTCCATGGGTGGGTGTGTGGGTGCATGGACAGATGCATGGACAGATGTATGGATAGATGAAGCCTGGGGAAATAGGGAACACAGGACCCCAGGGACGAGCTGAAACTGCACCTGCTTCGGGTAGATAACCTTGGGATGTTGCTGCTCAGGTGCTCCAGCCCGTGTCCCTCTGAAGCTGAGGTGGAAATGGGCTGAGTGAGGTCAAGCCCGGAGCCCTGAGTTCCCATGTCCCAGCCACAGGGCAGCTGGGGCCAGGGTGGGGCAGGGGCTGAATCAGGCAGCATCCTGCCACTCACTCGGTGTGTTCTTGGCTTGCAGCCTGCTCCAAAAGCCTGGTGATGGGGGAGCCGGGCCAGAGCCCCGGGCAGCCCCGCGGCCCCCGGGGGCAGGGCCCCGTGCTGAAGGCAGGCTGGCTGAAGAAGCAGAGGAGCATCATGAGGAACTGGCAGCAGCGCTGGTTCGTGCTGCGCGGGGACCAGCTGTTCTACTACAAGGACGAGGCCGAGGCCAAGCCCCAGGTGAGGGGCGTGCTCTGTGTCCGCACAGTCGCGGTGCGGCTCCCCGAGGGCTGACCACGCCCAGGAGAGGGGGGCAGAGACCCTCCTGTGGGGACCTGCATCCCACAAGCCCCCAAGCCACCGCCTCCGCTCAGGGTGACACTCCTCCAGGCTCCCTGTGTCCACCCCTAGCCCGGCTCCAGGGCCACAGCCCTGTCACTGAGCCCCCACCGCTGGTTTCCTGCTGGTACTGACAGCAACATGCACAGCGGGAGGAATAGGTCCTGGCTGTGCTATATATATATATAAAATTGATTTTTTACAGAGAGGAGGAGAGAGGGGTAGAGAGCTAGAAACGTCAATGAGAGAGAAACATTGACCAGCTGCCTCTTGCACACCCCCTACCGGGGATGTGCCCACAACCAATGTACATGCTCCTGACCGGAATGGAACCTGGGACCTTTCAGTCCGTAGACCGACGCTCTACCACTGAGCCAAACCGGTTCGGCCTGGCTGTGCTTTTTGATGTTGTGTTCCAAGGAGACACAGGCGCCCACATTTTACTACTTTTGTTGTCCCACCCAGCCTGCCTTCCACCTAAGATGCAGCTCCAGGGGCGCCTCTGTTTATGCCCTGGCCAGGCAGCGGCTCTTGTGTTTTCTGTCAGAACCCTGAGGCCCACGGGCGGGACGGGGTTAGCAGTGCGCCTTTCCCCTTTCCCCGGTGACGCTCATTCACCCCCTCAGAGCAGCTAGTCGCTCCCCCTCCGCAGTGCGGCCCGGTAACCATTGGACCACACACAGGTCACAGCGAAGGGCCGCCATCTGAGGCCGCCAGGCTCCTGGGGCTCAGCCATCTAGTCCTCACGTGGGACTCAGAGAAAGGACATCTGGGGAGACGCGGGTTTCTCTGGGGCAAACGGGGAAGGGGATGTAAAGGATTCGTCCAAAGGATGCCCCCAGTCAGGGCTCCAGGGTGGAAAGGAAAGGGAGATCCTATGTCGGGGCTGGGAGTCAGAGCCTTGGCGGCGGGAGCCCCATGCATCTCGGCAGCTCCCACCCTGTGGGTGGGCCTGGGAGGCAGGGGTGCTCAGTGAAGGGCGGGCGGAGGAGGTACTGGGCACAGCATGGCATCACAGCATCACTGCAAGAAACGCCTCCTTCACCCTCTTTCACCTCCCCCAGTGCTCCAGCGGGGAGTGTCACTTAGGGCTAGCAGGCCTTTAACACCTCCCAACCTCTGGGGTCCTCCCTTGAAAAGATGGGGGGCGGGGGGCAGGCCTTTCTCAGCCTCCAGTGCAATGACTAGCTGCTCATTAGCCATCACTGTCTTCACTGTGTATCCTAACGGTTAACTGCTGTTCGTAGAAAGGATTGCTTTCATGAGAGTGACATCATGCTTTTCTTTTTTAATATGTCCAACTGAAAATTAAAATGTGTTGTACATCAATGGGAATGTAGTTAATGCGCTGAACTGTACACTTAAAATGGTTAGAATGGTAAATTATGTTATGTGTGCTTTGTCACAATAAAAAGTGAGAGAGTTTAAGGAAAATTTTTACAAAAACTACAGTAGAGACTAGTGACCCAGAGCATGAAATTCGTGCACATTAAAAGGGAATTAGAGGAAGTATTTTAATATTGCTATTTGCCCTTTCTCTATAATAGAAGTGTCAGAGATGAAAGAAAATTAGTAAAATGTATATGAAAACCTTCCTCCTGTCAGAATCTGGGGTACACCATGGGAACCAGAGTAAAGGCCCCACCCACCCATGTGCGCCTCGAAATCACACAAGACCCAGACCCAGATGGCTCCAACCCCATTGGGCTAGATCCACACCTGGCCGACCCCACCCTCGTCAAGCCCTGCCAGGTGGAGAGTGTGGCCTCAAGTCGCCTAGCCCAGCACCAGGGCAGGAGGTGCAGCCTGAGGTACCCCGTCAAGCCCTGCCAGGCGGGGGGGTGGGGATGGGGAGGGTGGAGCAGGCTCAGGTCTCCCAGCCCAGTGCTAGGGCAGGGGGCATGGCCTGAGGTCCCCTGTCAAGTCCTGAGGTCTCCCAGCCCAGCACTGGGGTGGGAGGAATGGCCTGAGCCCCCACCCTGCAGGGCAGGGGGCATGGCCTGAGGTCTCCTGTCAGGTCCAGCTGAGTGGGGGGCACGGCCAGAGGTCCCCCGGTCTGACACTGGGGTGGGGGTGCGGCCTGAAGTCCCTCATCAAGCCCCACCCAGTGGGGGTCACAGCCTCAGGTCCCTGCTGATTGCTCGTTAAGGCTCATTACCAGAACTCGGCCTTCGTTATGGGCAAAGCCATCTTGTTACAGTGTGAAGAATTCTTGTTACAGAATTTCTGCCTCTGCTGTGGGCACAGCCATCTTGTTACAGTGTGAAGGTCAATTTGCATATTCCCTCTTTACTAGATAGGATAAGAGGTGGGTATGACAAAACTCAGGCAGGAAGATCTGAACTACCGTAAGGGTCAGGGAACCCTGGTCCTGTGCAGCCTCTCTGTTCTGTAGGGAACGAAAACAAGTCCTAGAGAGGCTGATGGATCGAATAGGACTTTAGTCAGAGAGGCCCTGGCTGGTTTGGCTCAATGGATAGAGTGTTGTCCTGTGGACTGAAGGGTCCTAGGTTCAATTCCTGTCAAGGGCACATTCAGACTTGATCCCCACTAGGGGATGTGCAGGATGATTCTCTCTCATCATTGATATTTCTTTTTTCTTTTCTTTTTTTTAATATATTTTATTGATTTTTTTACAGAGAGGAAGGGAGAGAGCTAGAGAGCTAAAAACGTTGATGAGGGAGAAACATTGACCAGCTGCCTCTTGCACAGCCCCTACCAAGGATGTGCCCGCAACCAACGTACATGCCCCTGACCGGAATCGAACCTGGGACCTTTCAGTCCACAGACCGACGCTCTACCACTGAGCCAAACCGGTTTCGGCTCATCATTGATATTTCTATCTCTCTCTCCTTCTCCCTTCCTCTTTGAAATCAATATATATATATATATATATATACATATATATATATATATATATATATTTTTTTTTTTTTTTTTTTTTAAGAGTCAGAGATCTGAATTTGTATGACTTGGGACAAATCACTTAATTTGATTTTACTTTGGTTTTATTATTGCTAAAGTGGAGACTTCATTACCAGTGACATAGAGATCACAAAAGATTACACTATAAAAACTAGAGGCATGGTGCACGAAATTTATGCATGGGGGTGGGGGTTGTCCTTCAGCCCACCTGCACCCTCTGCAATCCGAGACTCGTCAGGTAGGGTCCCCAGCTGCCAGCAGCTCACCCCACCCCACCTCTGCCACTGCTTGCCATCTGTGTGGTGCTCCCCCCCCACCACAGGTCACCTCCCTCTGCAGGCGACATGTGTGGGGTGGGATCACTTGGCTGGCCTGGGCCTCCCTCTACAGGGCAATTGTGGGGTGATGGCAGGGCCCCCTGACCAATTGCATCACACCTGCCTTGGCTGGCCTGGCACCAGTGTGTGTCATAGCCTGGCTGTCCGGAAGGTTGTCTGGACTGTCGTTCAGTCATTCTGTCGTTCAGTCATTCGGTCGATTTGCATATTGTGCTTTCATTATTAAGGATATGTGTGGGCGAGGGACAACCTTTCCTCTACCCTCAGGTTCCTCTGGCTGGTCTAATAATCAGTAGACATGAGAGATTAACCCTAACCCTCCTCTCTGCCCTCTCCCAGCCAGCTCCCTGTGCCATCGCCTGAGACTGCCCGTGGTGCCGGGCGCACGGAGCTCACCCAGCCTGCACACCCACCCGCCCCCACCCTCGTGCCGCTCTGAGCCACTCGCTCCCAGCAGGCCTGACTCACTTCGCTCTGACAGTAGGACCTCACACGTGCCTGCAGATTTCCCTGTAATTGCATGAGCTAAATGTAATGGGCTAATTCTCAATGTCTGGTTCCTGGAACAAGGTGTCCTGTTCACTGTTTACAGTGACAGAGAGCCCAGGTGGTAGCCCTCCGGCAGATGGCTGTTAGCTGGTGGGCAGACGTAATTGCCCAAACACGTTGGATGCTGCCCAGAGCACATGCAGTATGATGAGAATCACTCTCAGGACACGCTCCCGCTCTCTCTCAGCTGTGCCTTCCCCTCCGCTCCCCAGAGGTCAGCGGGCACAGCGTGCATGGATGGGAGGAGAGAAAGGGACTCACTCACGCTCAGAGGGAAGACGAGGCCAAGGTGCTTTAAAGCAGAGCCCGCAGCCTGCCCTGTCCCTCCAGCTCTTCCCAGTGCGTGTCCCTGGCAGTTTCCACAGACTCAGAGTCGTTCAGAGATTCCAGACTTTTTCTTTCTCTCAGTGGTTTCAGCATCTGCTCAGAATGTCTCCCGGGCCATGAACACCCTGGCCACTTGCTGGCTAATCGGCCGGGTCTGCTTCCGCGGATGCGGACTCATAAGTGTGTCTGGTTACCCTAGTTCTCTGCGTGTGGCTTTCTCAGCTTTGCGGAGAAACGGAACAGAATAGAAATGGAAACTGTAGCTTCCAAAACATAAGATGGAAAAAAACTAACAAATTAAATGTGACAAATTCAACAATGGGCAGAAATAGAGGAAAGAAACATAAAAAGAGAGAAAGGTAAATAGAAAATGAAAAATAAGTAGATCGCACAGACTGGGTATAAACATTTCAGTTTTCATAATAGATGTGACTAGGTCAGAGTGACCTATTTCTTAAAAGACTGGAAGTGGAAAATTGGCTTTAAAGAGGAGAGAGCAAGCCCTGACTGGGTAGGTAGCTCAGTTAGTCACAGCGTTGTCCCGCTACACCGAGGTTGCAGGTTTAATCCCCAGTCAGGGCACATGCAAGAATCAACCAATCCTATATAATAAAAGGCTAATATGCAAATCTACCAAATGGCGGGACCAACGGTCACTATAACATGCACTGACCACCAGAGGGCAGATGCTCAATGCAGGAGCTGCCCACTGGTGGTCTGTGCAGAGCACTGCTCAGCCAGAAGCCCTGAGCCGGGCTCACT